AAATCAGTCGGACAAGGCGTCTTATTACGTACTGATAAGTTTTTGTGATGTATTCGATATCCTGACGTAGGTTCTCTCACTTGATGGTTGTGCAATGACCAGGTCTTCTCTCGCCGTTGCGGGTCGGTGCGATACGCCTATTTTCGACCTGTCTCTTTTTTTCTATAGACGGGCGGTTATAGTTATAGTTAGAGGTACATATCTATACTTGCGTAGATAAGGTCGTCTCCATCGCATCGCATCGCAGGTCCTGTCCTGTGCGTGCATGCGAGACATCAGCCTCAAGAGCAACTTGTTTGTACTTCGTAACCAGAAGTACAGATGTTTCTAAGCACAGGCTCAGCCTCGCTATAGCCAACACCTTAAGCAAACAGCAACACCCATCCATCTGTTCATCCCACTTTAACCACTTCACCACTACGTCTACGACAGCCAGCATGGACGACCAGCCTCAACCGCTCGAAGATGATCTGATAGCAGACTCCCACGCCACGGCACCCGTCAACCTGCCGCGAGTCACCATCACCTTCTGCACGCAATGTAAATGGATGCTTCGAGCAGCATACGTAAGGCCCCTCACCCACCTACAACACGTAGAATAGATATCGATATCAGAGAACCCTATTTGACCAACTCAACTACGACCAGTTCGCTCAAGAACTTCTATCTACGTTCTCCACAGCCTTAGGCGAGGTATCGCTCGTCCCTGGCACGGGCGGCGTGTTCACAGTGACGATCCAGCATGCCTCGAACGTGAACTTTACCACCCATACGAGCGTGCTGTGGGATAGGAAGGTTAACGGGGGGTTTCCTGGTATGTATAAGTTACGTCGTATCTGCTTAACTCGCCTACTTGGCCTTGGATTGTTAAAGAAGCGGCTTTAGAAACCAAACAGCTCAAGGCGCTGGTGAGGGATGTTATTGAGCCGTCGAGGGATCTGGGACATATTGATAGGGCGCTTGCGAAGGAGCGGGGTGATGATGGACAGGGACAGGAACAGGAACAGGAACAGGGGGAGGAGCGGGAGAAGGGCCAGACGGGTGAAAGTCAAGGTGGACAGGGAAGTTGTGAAGAGTGTAAGGAGGAGAAGGAGGTAGAGAGTGTGCTGTCAAGTGTCAGTGTTAGAGTGAAGAAGTTAATCTAGGTTGATCGGTGCAGGATCAGCGAGGTTTATCTAATTTACGCTCTGTTGTTACTTGATATTTATATGTAATGGGAACTAACTGCTGGCTGGCACATGTAGGGTTACATCTATCTTAAGAGATGGGAGAGAAACTTGTGATAAATGGTATAAGTAGTAGAGTTATATAGTATAGAGTATGATGGCGGACGGAGCAGATAATAAGAACAAGCGTAAGGCGTGAGTAGTAAGTAAGTAGACTGTGAGGGCGAAGGAAGCGTAAAGGAAGAGGAGGTAAGGTATGCAAGGATAGGAGGTATGTAGACAGACAGGTAGAACAAGGTAAAGATAAGATGGAAAGAGCTGCTGCGTCAAGCAGTAAGAATAGACAGGACAGACAGAGGACATAGCCAAGGGAAGGAGAAAAGGAAGAAGGGAAAGAAGAAGTAAGAAAAAAACAGCGTCGAGGAAAGGAATATGTATATATATCTAACTCGCTTCGTAACGGGAAGAGGAAGAAGACAGGACATAAGGAAAAGACAGTCGGACGAGGACAGGACGGAACCATAAGCATAGTCTTTGCATTCTGCATTGCATTGCATTGCAAGTCATGAATGGAACGCCGGACGGAAACGCAGGAAGAAACAGTGGAAGTCAGCGACAAACGGAATTGGATCGTAGACGGACACGGAGACGGAGAGCGATGTAGACATGTGAGTTGAAGTTGGAATAAACGGGAGGACGCGAAAAGAGCTGAACAAAACAGAACAGAGCAGAGCAGAACGCAGCATTACGCCGAAACCCCTAGAGCCGACCGGGACCAGGAAAGAAAACCGTGTTTTTTGTAGTAGAAGAGAAGAGAGTAAAAATGAACGAAGGGCGGAGGAAGAGAGGATGAATGTACACGTAGTAAGGAAGAAGATGGATGTTCGTTTCAAGGAAGGGCAAAAGGGAGGGTCAATGGTTAATAGTGATCTGAAGCGCTCATC